AAAAATAACATCCATAAGAATGGATGGATGCAAGGTTTTCTCCCAAAAACAACATTGCCTGCAGCGTTACACTGCCTCTGCTGGGTTTCCTCCTTCACATCCTGAATCATGAATCCAACTACTCCTCATGTAAGCTGACCTGGCTATCCACATGAACACTCACACGTTAACATCCTTCATGGCTAGAGGCACCCTGATCAATTTGCTGTTACATGAACTACTTATATGTAACATTCTTGGATGTACTGGATGCTTAGAGACCTTTTTGGAGCAGCTTTCAGAACCAAATCAAAATGACAAATTAATTAAAATGCCAAATGAAAACGAGAAATTGATTTCCCACTTAAGATGAGACACTTGTCATGCACAGTTAAAGTGAAAAACAAATTTACCACCGGAAAATAAATAAGCTGCAGTGAATACATGTGAACAACCCTTAAAATATTTGGTTGAATCAATCACCTTTTGATTGAGATTGACCAGTTTTTTTGACTTTACATTTGGCGTCCATCAAGGTGAATTTGTTTCCAGCAGGACTGAGTTGACATTTACCCATTTGCCACTTTCAGATAAATATATCGCTTGCAAAAAAGTGACAAAAGGTTAAAAGGGTGTCGCTGAGAGGGAAGGTTAAAAACATCCACGGCATTGTATTTACACACTGTGCCACAATGATGGGGGTGAAAAATAATTGGAGAAAATGTGACCTCCAGTAATATCTGTGGTGTTCTACATTTGAAAACAATCCCCTTTACTCCTCATATGTGTCTTGACAGAAGAGTAAATCTGAAGGTAGAAGCATTTCTCCCAAACCTTGTAGGAGAATGTGTTATTGTCTGATGAAACCAACCGTGAATGTTTGGATCGTAATTCCAAATTCTATATATGGCACAAACACAACACTGCAAGAACACAATGTCTTCAGTTAATAAAGACGCCAATAGTATTTTCTTCACACAGACTCTTAGGTCCATTTGAGTGAAATTATCAATAATTGCAATTGCTATTTCATCTTGGCCCAAAACCTATTGCTGTCTGCAAGACAGTAGATAATGAAGCATGATTTTATTTTGTAGTACCACAATATAGCATAGCATAGCATATAGCTAAATCAACTGGAATGTGAAAAAAATGCTATGAAAGGATTTATAATGACATATTTTTGTCCACACCACAAAACAACATTTTAGGTCTTTGTACACTTTTCAGAGCCATGTATCAAAATAACTGCAGGTCTTGGCTGACAATTACTCCTTTCCTTTTTCAGATTGAAGGTTCCCAGTAGAGATGCACCCATCATAGCTTGCTGGCAAGTTTCCAATCGCTGGCCTGCTGACACTGATTTTAACTACCTCCAATTTATCTAAATGAACTATAGAAACACAGAAACATTATTGAAAAATTTTTTGTCATTAATTATTTATGAAGGGAGCACAGATGGCATTATGTCATGTCAGAGAGCAGTTGAAGTCAGACTAATATTTTTCTTTCTACATAAGTGATTGCATTGTTAATATAACTCTGAGATTTCCACGAAAGGTGCTGATTGTTCTGAATTCAAAATGTTTCATGACAGAGCTTGAAACCTGACAGAGGAGCTTTTTGTAGTGTGTTCAACCTTCTTCTATCTGCTTTAGGTCTTGCTCTTAATAACTCTGGTAGCATAAATAAATGAATTGCATCTTGATGTGTCAGAGACAAAATTTATATTATATAACATATTTTTTGATACATTTGATTTCATTTTTAAATTCTCATTCTGAAAATGACTACGGCTCAGGCTTTCTTTCTATGCAATAATTCCCTGAGTAAAGCTTGTTTGGTTAGAACAACACATTTGTGTTTGGCTAATCATAAGAATATTAAATATTTCAGTTTCCAGTCAGTCACTGGTCATGGTCAAAGCAAAAAACAACAACAAAAAAAACCCTAAAAGACAAAAAAAAAACCCTGCCAGTTCTTTCTGGCTACCTGCCCACTTCGGTGCATCCCGTTTCTTCTGCAGACTAGAAAAGTCCCACCTGAGCCTCAGCTGTGGAAATGTTACATCTTATTTGTCTGAGCCTTCACAATCCGGCCACGGTTGAAGGTCCTCACACATTTACAGCTAGCCTTGCAACAAATCACCCTCAAGGTCAGACTGTTGATCTAATGCCAGAAACCGTTGTCACAAAACAATTAATGTTTTCTCTTCACCTGTCAGTGGCCACAATGTTACAGTGCATGTAATCTGCAGCCCATGTACGCTCTGGCTTTGGATATGCTACGCACCCTCCATGTTCCCCAAACACTTAGTTTTTACTTACATCTACAGAAAGAACACAATATATTTTGCAGTGGTATTAAATTATGCAGTGCAGATAAGCCTAAAGTAAATGTAATTCAAAGATAAGAGACCATTTTGTTAACTGATACAGTCCAAAAGAAAAATGCACTTTAAGTTAAGAGAAAGATGAAAAATTCTGGGTGCAGTTAATGATATAAAAATTCATTCCTTTAAAGCTTCAGTAAAGCATTTCTTTTCGGTATTTTGGGTAAACTGAGTCTTCAAGCAGACTTCTAGCCTCTGTAAAAGACACATTCCTCTTCATGCTGCTCCCATTTTTCTCTGTCTCCTGTTTTTAGTTTGCCTGTAACAAAAGGAGCAGATAATCTGTCCTCAGGCGGGCAGCTCTCCCATTCCTTCTTCTCTTTGTGGCTTTAGCCCATTCTTTTGATTCCTTTCAATCCATAATTATAACAACACTGCCAAGGCATCTGGACAAGATGAGCATTTTAGCGCAACAAAGTCTAACTGCAGCATCTTTACATCAATACATCTTTATACTTTTGTATTACTGTATTGTACTTCAATAATTACAATACAAAGCGATACTGAATAGAAGATTCAAAATACTAAACAGAATAATTTATGGAAAGTACAATCTGCTGGCAGAAAGAGGGCGCTGTTCTTCAAGTGCCATCAGTGCTGCAGGTCAGCAGAGCTTCTCATAAGGCAGATGGAGGAAGCAGTGAGAGGGCAGCAGAATTTACACTGCCAACATGTTTGGTCTGCTCACTAAAGCAAAGCAGAAAGCCTCTGAGTACTAAGACAACAACTATTCAGGGGTTTACAGGAAACATGGTGGTAATTTGGAAAGATGCCACCACTGCTGTTACCATAAGTTTGAGTCACAGTCAGCCGATGGCAAACTCAATAATCTGTTTGCCTTTTAGCAACAAAATAAAGGCAGCTTACTCTTTTTTTCCCTCAGGATTTCCCCTCTTTCTCATTCTCTTTTCTGCTCGTTCCTCCCTATTATCTGTAACGAGTAGTCACTGAGCGCGACTTCATGCAAAGCTCTCTCTGTCTCTGTCTTACTGTCCGACCACATCCCTTTAACTTCTCCTCTGCTCTAAAAAGCTTCCGTTGCGCAGCTATCCCCGCTTACATCCGGCCTGTTTTGATTCTCACATTTACAGAGATACTGCAAGAGTAAGAACCAGATCAGTACACGCCTTGGAAAGTTATTCACACCACAAACGTCAATGTGAAGAACCAACACAAAGTAGTACATAATTGGAAGGTGGAATTACTAAAATAAATTATTTATGGTTTTCTCCTAAATGAAAATAAGAAAAAGGTGGGCTTGATAGTACTCTAGTTTTGTTGCACATCTCTTCCTTGTACAGAAAAAGTTCAAGCTCTGTCTGAATTGATAGAGTGTCTGTGAACATCTGTGCTAAGTTTTGCCCCAGATTCTCAAGTGTAATTAAGTCTGGTTCTCTCTACACACTAATATCAGAATCAGATTTATAGCCAAAGTTTCTGCACACAAACAATACATTTGACTTTGGTTCCACTTTGCTCTCTATATAACGGCAGTTAAATATAAATATCTAAACTTGGGAAGGAAAAAAATAATATCCTGGCTGCTTAGGGATGTTTTTTGATGGGAGGTTAACCTCTGACCTCTAGATGTTTTCAACCTGAGTCCAGAAGTAGCAGGTTGTCCTGAATTCAGGAAGAGGGAAAGATTTTGCTTTTGGTTATTTTGTTGAAGATTAATGTAGCCGTATGGATATCTTATAGAAAAATGTACTGGCTAAGCATGGTGTCAACTGCAAAATAATAAATTAATTGTATAGATGGAGAATGAGTAGAAATTAGACATGTAAATATGTATTATGCGGGACGTGTTTGGCTGAGATAATTGGGGATAGAATTAAGCTTTTTTCTTCGTCTTACTCCTTTTTAGATTGCATATGGAAGTTTTGTTTTTCTATGGTTGGTTGTCATGATTATTTTACGTGTTTGAAATGAATAAAGATTTAATTTAATTTCAAACATTCTCCCTGACCTGTCAGCAGTGTTCCTTGGTCTTCTATTTGTTCGCTAATATTCTCTAAAAGACCTCTGAGGTTCTGGAGTTTATACAAAGGTGAACTCTTTTTAATAATTCACAGACTTCTGGAGGCAGTTGGTTGCACTTGATGTTATTTAGAGGTGTTCAAGTGAAGGAGGTTGAGTGCAGGCCACACTTTTAAAACCCATGCATCATTTTCCCTTCAATTTCAGTTTTAATAGAAATTTCTGGTAGTCCTATCACATATAATCCCAGTGAATTATTCTAAAGTTTCTGGCTGTCATGTGATGAACGTGAAAAAGATCAAGAGGGGTAAATACTTCTGTCAGGAATCGTGCACAGCCCCTGGAAAAATCCACATTTACAGGATCAGAGGAGAGAAAAGAGAGGGGAATAGATCCACTCAGCATGTTCCCACTCTCACACAGACAAGCAGCCTGCTCTCACACTTGGACACAAACATTTACAGGTTTAGGTCACATACAGAGACACAAAGCAATATGGCAAGGACACGACACACACGCAGCATGGCTTACACACGCAATAAACTCATATCTGCACGCATATTATTGTCTCACACGTGGAAACACAGCCACATAGACCATAATTATAGATAAACAAGCAGAAGCCACATTGGTGCATCCGACAAAACCTCTCTCTTCCTCCCACAAGGACACAAGTCCAAACCTCAGAGTGCATCAACTTCACTCCAACACACGTTATTTTACCTCAAATAAACACATCATCCACGCATGCATGCAAACTCATTTCCTCTGTCACTCACCTTGCACCTCGATGTCTCCTTTGTACCAGCGCAGCTTGGCAGGGGGCTTGCTGCCCGTGCTGGTGCAGGTGAGGGTGACTTTTTCGCCCTCTGGCACTGGATTTTCAAAGCCAGAGATCTGAGGCGTACCGGGCACACCTGGAGAGAGATAAAGCAGCATAAATAGTGGAGAGTAAGCAGGAGGAACAGGGGAAAACTTTTGTGCTGCAGGGCTCACCTTGTAACCAGAAACAGCAATAACTGAAGGCTTGTGGCAAAGCTTCCAAAAACTGCTGCATATGTTTGCAGAGCTATGGTGAATTGATTTGGGTAAAGCAAAAATGAACAGAACACTGTGATACAGCATCCACTTTACTAAAGACCAGCTTGAATTTATTATATAAGATAGAAGCCAGATAAGGAAAAATAATGATGCAGTGGCTTGTACCCAAAATGCTTCATGGATGTGCACAGCAGCCCAAATGACCTTCCAAGGTATCATACCCATTGCCCAGACTTATTAGTGTTTGTCACGCCTGGTGCACTGGAAGATTTCTCTATTTTGCTGACAAGGGACCAATTAGGGCTATACAGATAATGACTGTTTCCGTCTCAGAGGGAAAACCTGAAGTTACAGTATGGATATGAACCTTCTGGATAGAACACTGGGTTATTTCCAGGAAATTCCTGAGATAGTCGTATCTGAAATTCCAAACATTTGAGTGGATTTTATAATTTTCCATTATCCATATATTAAATATATAGTAGCAATCCAGACAGTTGTTGCTTAAAGTTGAGTGGGCAACATAGGGACAAAACAGAAAACTGATAATGCTGCTTTACAATCACAGGCAAAGTTCTGACATGTTTCTAATATATCCTGGAACATCAGAGCTGTCAAAATCAGACATTTTCCCAAACCTAACCAACTACTTTGCCCAAACTGATCCACACAACAACAAGTGCTCTAAGATCTAAAAGAGCAAATATAAACAACAAAAGCAGCATAAAAAATAGAAAAGAACAGATCAATAAAGCAAGGCGTACAGTCAAGAGTCAACCAGACTCTCCTGATTAAAATTGCACTTGTTCCATCAACATTTAATGCACTATAACAGAGGCTGCTTTTATTTCTGAGACACAAGGTTGAACATGTTCAGGATCCAAACAAGCAAACATCTGATGAGAAGACATTTGGACAGGAAACCTTGAGACAACTTTTTTAAAGTTAGATAATTTACTGTGTCTTTGTTTATGTGCATTCTTTGAAAAGCTTATAGAACAAAAGCCTATCTGGGTTCCAGGAATGAATTTCTTTGCATTTCATACTGTAATGCACAGTTATGCAGAGCAAAATAGACATCTCATAAAAAGTATGTTATTTATTAAAAATAAATAACTGAATTAGTAAGTTTTCTTGGAATGCTGCATTTGGTTTATACCAAACATGTCTTCTGTTCAGGTGTGTAGAAAATATATTTTTTCCAGAAACTCATGGCCTGCTTTTACAATTTCTCTGGCAAACTTTACTTCATCTTAAGGTTTCTTCCTTGCAAATGTCCCAAGAAAGTTAAACTTGTACAGTTTCCATCTGGTTTTACAGCCAACATTTTTATTTCAAAACCCTGCTTTATGTGCCTTGATTCCATTTTTGGCTTTTGGAGACTTCTTTTAGCATGCTGTTGCCTGCTTTCAGGATAAATTTGTTTGAAAAGCCAGACTTCTGCATGTTGAGGGTTATTTTTGAATGTTTTCCACTTGTAGACCATTTTCTATTTCGTAGAGTGGCTGATTTTAAATTCTTTTGACTCCTTTTTAAAAGCCTTACCAGACTAAGCAGCTACAATCTTTTTCACGCTTTCTTTCTTTCTTTATAGCCTCAATGTTTCACTGAAAGGACTTACGGTTTTACAAAACATGCTTGATTTATTCACATTTAGACCCACACAATGCATATAAGATATGCCGACATATATGGCAAGATAAAATACAGTGTGACGGCTTAACACTGGTATTTTTCTGTATGACGACACAAAGATCTGTTCTTCAAATGTCTGAAAACAAAACTAAACAATGAAATGGTGAAGAAAAAAATCTAAATGAAACGTTTTCTGTTGGTAGATGAATCCACTCTGGCAGGTTGGAGATGAAATTGACCATCATGTAAGTTGTAGCTCTATACTTTCTCCAGTTCCTTGCTTAAAAACAGCCTCAAGGAGTTCTAACCTTGAGTCCCAGTTAGAATAAAAATGTGTTGAGAACAGTGAGTCAGTATGGAAATGAGTGGGCAATTTACAAAATAAAAAAACACCAAAGTTTCAAAAAGTTACGGTTTTAAATCCTCAAAATGTGCATCTCATTCCTAACTGGCTACCTGACTGATAGCCAGACTGATAACCAGCTAAATACATGTTTTGTAAAATTAGCATTCTCATTCCATGTTTTTCCAAGCTCACCACAGAACCGAGACAAACTTTATGTTCAATGATAAATATGAACTGTGGAACTGCTGGACCGCAGTGCAATGTCAAGAAAACACTGCAGATAATTAAAATGTCAAATATTTTAGCAACGACGGCATAAATAGCTTCTTATATTAGACAGCTTTTCAACAGTTTGCTGGCTTCAACTTTTAATAAAATAAATAAGTCCAACTCTGCAGGACCTCAGATTTGGCCCGTCAGTGTTGACTACAATCCAAGTTCGGAGCTGGACATTTTATATTGATGTGTTTCCATTTGTAAAGCAGTCTTTAGACCAAATCATATTTCACTGGGAATACGACATGACTTAGTTTAATCGTGACAATTCAACAGGCTGCAAAATCCATTTTGAACGACATTTTACATTTAAATTTTACAATAACAATAAGAGTACACTCTTTCTCTGCTTAACCTTTTCCTTTATTCATGAAGTAAAAGAGGTCAGTCGCCCCAGAGTCTTTCACTCTTGTGACAAATTTGAAATGCTAACCACATTATTTTTTCCAAGACTTGAACACGTGACAAAAGCTTAAAAGAAGCTACCAAAAGGAAATGATTGACAAAAAAAACCCTTCATTAACTCAACAATCCCACAATACTTGTGGCACTCATATTAAGTAGTCTAATATTTGGAGAGAAGCCCCCAAATGGCAGACGACAGTCCGCTGTGATGTTCACAGGAATGCAATTAATTCTACGAGAGGAATAATACGGTGTCGTCTCTTTAAAATGCAATTTCTACAAATCAAATCGAGTTAATACACAGCAAAATGTTGATAATCCAGGTTGACTCAAATCATCAAATCAGGTAGTTTGCAAAATTGAGATCTACTGACAATGTGATGGTGGGATTTACCTTGCTAAAATGTATGAAGTTTCATTCACAGGGTTCTACTGATCATATCAGGATATTTGTAATATGGCAACACAAAGTGGGGAATAATAGTTAAGTGAAGAGAAATTGAAATAAGGTTTTAAAACCCCCCATGAAAGACACTTTTCCTCACAGCATGATGCTGCAACCACCATTTTTCACAGTGGGGCAGAGAAATATAATTTCAAGAGAAATATAATTACTAATTATATTTCTAATTATATTTCTCTTGAAGGCATTTAGCTGCACTGAAATTTATTTGTATCAGTGTAAAAGTGTCTGAATACATATCTGCAATGCATTTTTCATATTTTTATTTGCAACCAAGGAAAAAATAATAAAATTTCTACTTTAAAATAACTACTTTATTTGGGTCTATCACATAAGATCTCAGTGAAGCACAGACGTAATGACGTGAACCGTTTTGAAAAGCAGAACAGACTTCCTTTCATTCAGCTCAGCTGCTCTTCAGAGGTTTCCATGGCCTTCCAGACTGAGATGCATGAAGAGGTCAAACAAAAACCAGAGGCCAAAAGGAACATCAAAACTCTTACAGCCAAACCGAAATTTCATGATGCATGTTTTCTTTCCCAGCAATGTTTTTTCCAAACACAATAAAACCAGAAACATTCTTGCTTAATTACTATCTTAACTTGAAGCACGAGTCAAAGCGAACACAACAAAGGCAGCAACAATAATCCACACATCTTCTCTGCCAAATATTTTAGTAGGCCTCTTCATCACCGCCATTACAGTTGAGGGGATGAGAAGAAAACTTTCTACACTCCATCTGGAGTCACTGTAGGCAGCACTTTCTCCAAGTGCTGGCAGAGTTTACTGTCGTTCTGCTTTTTAAATAATGGAGATTCGTCTGCCATCTTCTTGCAAACTCCCATCTTGTGCATTAAGCCTGGAAAGAAAGCGATGGATATGTATGCATATTTATATATAGTCAGGAAAATAAATATAGTTGAAAGACTGCGAGAAAGATTTGGACAGGAAGGAAAAGGAGGATGAATGTGAGAACGGACGCCAAGAGGAGCAACAAAGAACTTTGTAATTGACAAGATTATGCGCATCTTTCTAAGGAATGAATGAATGAATGGATGAATGGATGAATGAATGGATGAATGAATGAATGGATGAACATACAGATGGATGGAATTTTCTTATAGAACACTAAAAAGTAAATCACTATCTTGGTTGCAAATAAAGGCGGGTCAATTAAGTTCATTAATATCTAGAATTTTTGAATGATGTATATATATATATATTATATATTTTTAATCTGTAAATTAAAACAGTAAAATAAGTAAATAAATTATTACAAAAATATATCAATGCTTAAGCTAAAATATTAAGTTAGTGTTTTAATGCCACTTTCTCCCTATTTTGCTTAGATTGAACTTCAACAGGTCATTTTCACTACAAAACTAACTTTATTTTATGTAGTACTTGTCGTTGATGTTATTACAAAGTACTTTAACGTTACTGCTACATGAGATAAAAACATTGAGCTGGTTTTCCAGATGAGATGATTAAAGAAAATTAGCTTGAGTCATTTGAATGGCAGATTTTCTTTACTTCCTCGCAGCTGAGATTTATGTGATATATTAAAGTAATAAGTCTCAACTATTTCTTTTTTGCACAATTAATATTGCAAATCTTTGGTCACTTTTTTATGAACAGCTGGTTGCAAAAAATAATAATTCTTTGTATTTTTTTTCTAGTATCAGTGAAAAATGCTGTAAATGACAGTTTGTCAGACAGAAAATTATATTTTAGGATCAACAGAGACGCTTAAAGAACTATAAGCTAAAACATTTTGCATTGAGCAGATCTGCTGAAGGCTGATGGATTCCTGTATTTGGTTTCTCAGTCAGGTTTGTGCTGTATTGTTTCTTATTTCCAAAAGACATGCACACACAGTACAACCTGCTGTCACTGCAATGTTGAAGAAAAGCACAAACAATGCGTGAAAATACAGCAAAGTTCCAAATAAGAACCTTTTATGGTTCTCTGTAGTTATATTTAAATGTTTTTACCCGTATGATTTATATTTAAGGGCTGCAGCATCCACAAGGAATGACTAGTGTAAGTTAACTTACTTAAAAACAAACGTGTTACTTAGCTAATAACTTAAGTTCAAATCTTTTATTTTGGAGGTTTTCAGCTCTGTCACCAAACCTGAACATCCATTAAAGACCAACAGGAAAACCTGCTTCAGTTTCCACTTGACTGATGCATTTTTTCATCAGACTCCACCCTGTGCCAGTCAGCATCCAGATGCATCATGTGCAGAAGTGTATTTGTTAATGTGTTACATTACATTCAATCTGTTTTAGCCCACTCTTGTAAGCCAAACTGTAATAAATATACATTTTATATTTGTAAATCAATAAATAAAGGAAGAAAATGTGGTATATAAAGTTTGCAGAGGACCACACGATGTGATCAAGTGGTTGGTGATGCTGCATGACTTGGCTAAATATAATTCACTTGTTATGGATCCCATAATTGAATTTAATGTGTCCATTGGTAACCCTGTTGTTTATCAGAATGCTTCTTTGATATTAGCTCCTCAGAACTGCAGAAATACCCACAAGCAGCACTAAAAAGTGCAGCGAAATAACTGAGGTGTACATCAAAAAAAAATACAAACGTGGTCAATTTTTAATGTACCACCATTTGATGTAGTGCTCTATGTGCGGAAGCTCCCTTGCAGAAAAGTAGCATTGAATATTAATGAGGGAATAATCCTGCCCGCATAGAACTGGCCAGAAAAGTCGTGTTGAGACTCTTCCCTTACATTCACAGAAAGAGAATAAAGCCCCTATAAATTATTTTCAGAACAGAGCACAGGTATGACACAGATTTTGAACTCAACGACACAGTCCTTTAAACTGGCCATACTCAGCAGTTGTGTCTGGATGTGTAATTGTGTGTGCAGGAGTCAAATCATTCACGTCAAAACAAGGTTAAAATACACACAAACAAACAAAGCTCTGCCAAAACCCTCCACATCTCTGCTCAATTTTCCCATGGAGATTCGTGTGTTTTCAACATTTTAGTATACATTTTTAATGGGCCAGCTCTCTCTCGGGGGTCATGAAATATTTAGGAAACGCAGAATACAGTGCCACAGCTGTCAACTACAGTGAATTAAGAAAAAAATAGCTTGAGTCACAATTACAAGAATATGAAATGAAACAGAAAGGAGTGTTTCTCATGTTAATGTAAAATAACAAAGGCAAACCAGGCTTCACTTCTCATCCTTTTTATTAAATATCAACTTAACATTTCTTTTGGCTACTGCTCCCAATGCTGTCCAGGGCAACTACGTTTAATTCCCTCATTAAACCCTGCATCACCGCAAAGCAATCTGAGTAAATAATGTTCGAGAATGCTTCCGCCAATCCCGAATGAATAACGCTAAATTTGAGAGAAGCCCTTTGGCGTTTTTCAAGCAACAGAGCAGCCATGCAATCGTAAGCCATCCCGCTCCACCCTCAACGTTTTAATTCAAGCATTTCTTGCTTTCTACTTGGAGCAGTTTCCAAAAAAGATGAGGCAGAAATCATTGGGAGCTCTGGTCATCATCCAAGAACTTCTTGGCTACTTTCATAGCAGAAACACAAATGAAACTTTTATTTTTCACAAACGAACTTGGAGTTTTAAACATTCTTCTTGTTTAAACAGAAGTTAACATAAAGTTAAACGAACACGAAGAGTCCTCTGTTAAATTTAAAAGTATGTAATTATTGACATGAAATGTGCACAGGCTGTTAGTTAAAACCCAGGAAATCCACACATATGAAGAAATCTACACAAATAAATAAAGAAATAATTACATCAAAGACGAATGACAAAGAATAAGTTTTATCATAAGGTTGCAAACTTTTTAGGAACTCTTTGCTTTTACACATCATCTGAAGCTCATTATGGAAAACCTTTGTAGTGAAAATCTTTTTCATCGTCATCACGATTAAACTGGCTAAAATAATTTGCCCCTACAGGAAGGACTGCTTTCTAACTACTGGCAGGTTTCAAATTTTCTGAGCTCTCAGCACATTTTTACATCCGTTTACTCATTTTATCACTCATTCATCTTCATTCTGCAACTTAACTTATGGAATAATTTGTGTTGATTTATTTGTAGTTGTGGTTAAATTGGGTTATTACTGACATTTGCTTATGAATTTGATGTCAATTGGAACATTAGAGATATAAAAACATAAATGTGTTGAGTAGTTTGTGGCCGTCTGAAAGGAAGGTTTTCGGTCTCGGATTTCAGACACAAGCAAACTGAATCATGTTTATGATTTCTGATTGAACAGGACTCGTGTGGCTATTGTCAGTTTCTCACATGCAGACACAACTGTTAGTCATTTTGTCACTCCATCATTTTGTACTTTTGCAATTGTTGCTTGTACGGTACCCATTTTTCTGTTTATGAAAACTCATCCTTGTTCAATAGTTCTGATTAAACTCTACAAAAGCTCTAAAATATTGTACTCTTGAATTTGTTGTTTATCAATTCCCAGACAGATAAACTGATAGTTAGAAATATGTGGGCAAAATATACATTAGTGAAAAACAAATTAGCGAGGAGTCAAATTAGCCCAGGATGGTGTGAGACATTAGTAAGTCCTGTTGATTGTAAACAAGCCCACCGCAGCCTCTCCAGAATACCAGCACAATCGTGTTTTGCTTTCCAACTCCAAGTCTCCATTGTGGTTGTACTTTAAAGCCATTAACCGTTGCATTGCAGCCTTTCTTTGTTCTTAACAAAACAATAAAATGCAGCCACTGAAACAACAACAACTTTACAAATCAATATCAATATGATAAAGACTATTTGTAGAGGGATGGGGGCAATTAGTGCAATGTCCAATGAGCAGGCACATTCTCTGCTGCCATGGTGACCACAATTTATTGCCTGCTACAGGGACGCATCACAAATAGGAAATAACATTCATCTCACTGAGGATGAATGGAACTGCTTTATCTTTACCAGAGAGTTGTGTGAGGTCGTAGCCTTGCTCAGAGGTTAACAACATAAACAAGGATCAGCATCAAACTGGACGGATATGGAGCTCTGAGACAATGCAAGTCTGCAAGGAAAACTTGTGCTTTCTATGATGTTTTCTAATATGTTACTGAAAGTAGTTTCATAAAAACTCCAATTATCCGAGTCTAATGAAAATAAAGTTGCATCATGTGAGCTTCAGTGTTTTGCACAGACTTAAACTTTAAGATATTTCTGCCTAACTGCGATGATGTCAAGAATTTGTCTTCTAATTTATAGAAACTCAGCACTAAATGGCTAAAGTATAAATACTTTTTTTATAAGTTGCAAAAACAAACGCTGCCAGCAGGGTTAAACTGAACTTGGATCTGAAGCTCAGTGGGATAAATATCCAGCGGTGCATCAAGGGCATTTCGAGTCAGTTAGACAGTTCGTGTTAAACTTCTGCAACCTGATCAGCCTTTATTTTCACCCTGCAGTCCAACAAAAGTAATTACTTTTTCATCGTCAGGAACAACAGGAACCCCATGGAGAATTTTTTATTTTTTTAAAGTGCCAAAAGTCTCGAGTCGTACAATTAAATTTGTCAAAATTCCAAAAGGCGTAGGAGAGAAATTAACACAGACCACCGGCAAGCTGGTTTGTACAAATGTTAGTCAGTCTCAAAGGAGATTGATGACTGACCAGGCAAGCAAGACAGTCACAGTGCAAAGGGAACAAAGCAGCATTTTCAGAATACCTCATCTTGGGAGCTAGTCAAGGCAAAAAGGAGAAAGGAAGACACCTTAATATAAACTTCCCAGAGAGGAATTACCAAGATGGACAGAAGACTGACAGATACGAGTTCTACCAAAAGCCAGAAAGAAGAAAAGGCTGTCTTTGACCAAAAAATCCTACTTAATTCTGAAAGCGTTTTATGAGACACATAGACACACATACCTTTCATTTTTCTTTCTGCTTGAGTTGATATTAAAATATGCCTGACACACAGCTGCAGGGTTTATTTTAAGCCCGCATTAAAAAGTTACAACGTCCAAATCGAGATGACAGTTTGTCTGCCGATGTGGTGCGGCGAAAGCCGTGCTGTTGTGGCGTTTGCGTGACCCACCTAGAACTGTGACGGTCGCCCGGGCCGTGCGGACCGGCATGGTGAAGATGGAGCAGGTGTACTCGCCCTCGTCAGACAGCTGCACGTCGGAGATGTTGATGGAAAGCTCCGTGGGAGTGGAGCGGTGCAGCTGGATGCGGTTATCTCTCAGAGCTGAGGACAAGGAGAGCAAGGTATCAATAATTACAAATGTGCCTTATGACTTGCTAAGGAAGATTTAAGAGCTGTTATGTGAGCATTTCTTTTGTTGGATAAGGTATTTTAGTCCGTCGATGTTCAGCGTGTTTTCCCAAAATATCAAATGAATGGATTTTATTACTTGTGTAAAGCAACATATTTCATTACATGGGCTGAGAAGAGTTCAAAAGCAACCCAAACAGTTAAGACTGAACAACCTTTTAAAAACAAACACGATGTGAAGCAGAACAGTGAGCCTTGTAGCTCCTTTAAACACCCGAGAGAGTTTGCTGACCTGACTCCCAGAGGACACAAGTCAGCAAACTCTCAGTCCCCCCATTTCAGCAAAGAACAACTAACAGATTCTGTTTACAAGACCTGGGAGGTCGATCAGAAATTTATTAAGCACAGATGCCTAAACAAGACCTGAATTTAAAGCTTTAGAGGCTTGAGAGACATGGCCATGTCACAGAACTGGTTCAGATTTTTTTTTTTTTTTTTTTTAAATCAGTTTAAAGGAAATTCTTATTCAAGCAGAAATAAACAAACATGAATCATCTTGTTTTATTGTTGAAAAGTTAAACAGAAAATTAATATTTTTGCCATGTTGGGCAAAATTTCCATCAATTTTCTGAATCTGCATTTTATTGCACAATCCAATGTGCAGCAGCCATAACTAAACGAATAAACTCAACTAGTGTTTTTCATGAGCAACTCAATGAAGACATTTACAAAATTACTTTGAAAAGGAGGATTTAATAGGCTCAAGAACTACAAATGTGCCTTATGAATTGCTAAGGAATTGCTATTCTCTGGATCTCATACCTGCTGCAGGTTTTACGATGCGTTTACTTTGAAAGTTTAAGTTTTGACCTGTGTTGAACTGTAGCATACACAGTTTCACCCAAGCGGACTGTCACACATTTATTTTGTAAATGTCACCACCCTGAAAATCCATACATGTCACTGCTACTGAATCTACTGAAGTGCTTCTCAAATGTCAATGTAATGATTCAGTGATGACACTACCTGGAATGCAGACACTCTGTCTGCACTGGCGAAGTTGAACTTACTGTATGAGCTTAAACAGCTCCATCTGAACTAATTATTGCTAATTATTTGACCACAACAGTCCACTGAACAGTCTTTTCTCTGTTCTCGTAAAACACGAGAATGTTGTACAGTAGGAAACAGATACTTCATAGATGAGACATATCATGTTTTACTAAATGCTCTTCAAGTTTAGATTCAGGTTTTTAGATACACTGCCGTACATGAAGAAACAGCATGACAGCAGATTCAAAGCAAAAAAATAAAATTTCTAAGAGTAAAACAGATGTGGGATTCTCCTCAATAGTGCACTAATACATGTTTCATTTTAGCGACAGATGTTTTTTTTTGCGGCTGCCAGATTGTTTAAAGTGCAGACTGTTGCGGCCTGCTGTCGATCTGCTTCATTAACATCAACGCCAATCTGCTGGGTTACCATGACCTTTTAAGGAGACTTTTTACTGCTCAGCTCAAGAGAATAAAAAAAGAAACACCTATATCAGTCATGTGTGTTGTGCAAACATTCAGAGTATTAAAAGTCATGTTTGGTTGAGACGGAGCTCAAAACTAAAAATCTATAGACAATCGGAAAAGTTGTTTTATTTCAATTTTAATGTTTTTTTTTTTTGGTCAAGTCTGTATCACAGTTCACATTTAGCGTATTGGAGGAAAGTGGAATGTAAATCGGGAATGTTATCATCGATGTTGTAAAAGATATGTAAGACAAAACAGCAACAATAACAACATAACATTCACACAAAACGTTTGGAACATATCACATGTCAAACGAAGGTCATTACATCATCTCTTGTCACCATAAATAAATACATCAAAAAATAAATTAGAAAATACAATCTTGAAATTGTGTTACTCCAACAGGAGGTCCTTGTAACAATGAAGAAAACATTTAAAAAAATACAGCAAATACTGGTGAAATTGGTGAAATAAAGGAGCAAAAGAAGAAGAAAATTACACATGGAAACATGAGGTTTCAAATATTGCAAAAATGGGGCCGGGCAGATGAGAAGGAAATAGAACTCAGCTGAGGTGGGAAGGATGATGCAAAACCACAGGATGAAAAGCAGTAGTAGGAAGGAAGGATTAAGAATATGGGAAATGGAAATTAGAATGAGATTTGAAGGAAGGAGGTAAAAATGTATGGAGGGAATGGAAATGAAGAAGGACGAAAGATACCAGCTGGAGGAAGTAAGGGAAGAAACAAGCCTGGCATCTAGTGAGAATGATAACTGTTCAAAGTAAAGTAAGAAAATAAGTTGAAGCGTGCACAGAATTACAATCAAAAGAGAATAACATAATAGCGATGAAGAGTAAAACAGAGAGGCTCAGGTGTTAAGAGCAGAAAATGATGTAAGAGAGAAAGAGGAGGACGAGCGACGCAGACGAGTGAGAGAGGCAAAAAATAGCAAAGATGTATGCTGGGTACGCAGCATCGGAAGACAAAAAGACTGAAATAAAAGATGCAAATTGAGAATGAGATGAGAGAAAGTGTGTGAAAGCAAACAGAGGAATCATAAATAGCAAGGAGGATAAGGAAGAAACCACGAGGGAAAGGTGGCGGAGGCACAAACGAAAGACATAAATGGCTTTGTCATCAATGAGAAATCCTGCCATGAAAGAGGGAAAGAGCACAAACGACTGAGATAGATGATGATGATGATGAAATGCTACGAAATAACGGCTCGTTTCCAGTGATAGCATTGACCTCTGCTGTGTTTGTGCCGTGTGATTGTCCAGTCTTCCTGTCTTCTCACCTGCCTGTCTCTATCTGCAGAGAATGTTCTACCTGTCTGACTTCCTGCATCAGTAAAGCTTACAGTTCATATTTCGTCACCTTTGTACTGAGAACTTTTACAAAACAATGCCTGAGAGAGCAAATTATGTTCAGGCTCATGAATATTGCTCCTCATTCAAAGTTATCAAGCAAGAACATATTGCATCAACAACGATTTGCACTTAACAGAGTGAACATGTTAGCTGGCTTCATTGAATATGTGATGGATACGATTGTAGGTCACACGTTCGGCTTTTGTGATATTTCCTTTTCATTTATGAAGAAAAAAAGCTCAATGTCAGCATAAAAGTTAGTCGTATTTCTGCCTTCATCTCAACCAACATAAAACTAATTTCAAAAACCAAAATTCAGAGGATGCTTAAAATAAATTTTGATTTTCAGGAATAACTGATTATGTCTGACAGAATGTGAAAAGCTATGTTGCAGCAAAGTACAGAAATAAATAGGCAGCATTTTAAATATATCCTCATAATATGGACTAAATATGCTGTAAGCTTATAAACATTCCCCTACAGTGTAACCTTTAACATATGGCTTCATGGTCAGGGTTTCCTCTTTTACAGACATGATCCATTCCACCTAACATGTTGTTTCCACTTTTATGAAAATGCATTGGGACCAGATTTAATGCCTTGTAACATTTATGTATTTAATTAATCTGGTGTCATTGTTTTGGTCCTTACTCCTGGCCTCAGCAGCATCATAAACTCAGAATTTGTTGCTTATGATTTTGCTGTGCCTCTTAAAGATCATCAGAGGCCTCCATCTTGTCCCCTCTGATGTCCTCCATCCAGGACTGTCTGTTTCCCAAGGGTATAAACACAAAGGCCCAGTTCCTCAGCTACCAGCCACTGAGCTGGACGAGAACCCAAGTTTATCTTGCTCACAGTCGGATGAAAGCTACGAGAACTTCAAAATTAAATATCTCCAAAACTTATTGTTCAAGAACTACAGCACAGAGCGGCATGTTGGGGTTATGAAGATTTTACAGAAACTACTGGATGCTGCATTCATGCCCAAAAAAAATCCAAAGTCTTTTTTGTCATTAAGTTACAAGTGTACATAAGTGGAGTTTTCTAAACACTGCAGGAACTGTAACTGAAGCACTGTGTTTTGATCCAAAACGGCTATGATAAGTTTCCCAGCAGCTTCAGGACGAAATGTTTGTAAAATCCCTTTGTGCCTCTTGTTCACACGGTGGAGGATCTGTGGTGCTGAGGGCTGGTTCCTCTTCAAAGGCTGTTTGGATGCAGATGTTAAATTCAAAATAGCTGGCTGCTCATTCTGCAGAAATTCTGCTCATGTGAGGAAATGAAACCAATATTTCCCCTCAAATGTGTTCAGTGTTAAATGAAGCTGCAGTCTGTGTCTAATAATCATTTCTGCTTTCTTTTTAATCTCTGAGCTGAAAGTTTTTAATAGTTATAAGTAAAGCTGAGGTTAAGCTGCGCTATCTCTCTAGGTTTAAGCTGAAACACTGATCTCATACCTGCTTTTCCAACATTCATGCTTGATAATCATTCCTGTTTAATTAAACAGAAATGACAAACAGAGCTGAAATTTAATGCTGCTGCTGTAAACAGTGCTGCGCCTACTGAGAAGTGGATGGCTGTTTGTGCATGTTCAGACTGTAAATATAGCATTATCAGTAAATGTTTTTATCTCAAAAGGAACTGTCGCACATTTTGCATCAGATAAAGGCTTGTTTCATGTTCAGCTGTTTGCGTCTTGTTTGAAATGAGTTAAAAGAATGAAACACACAAGTATTCAGGACTAATTAAGGGAAACATCATTATGGAACATTTCTCACTGGATGATGAGGCGCATCCCTAAATGTATTTCTTATTATTTATTCATTTATTTATTCATTCATTTATTTCTGAATGTTTTTTTAACACAAAGAAAACAAGTACCAAGTGTCACAGTAACACATTTTGCTGGACGATAAATTGTACCAGTAATCATCTTGATGAACAATAACATGTTTTGAGACAATTTTCCATTAGTATTGTATGTTGATAATGATGTAATAGTACAAGTTTGCACTACTTTTCAAGAAGAAAAGTGGTGGTTATTTATTAAACCCTTTATCTTGTCTTGATGTTCCATAATC